ACACGTGCTACTGAGTAACCAACACGAGTGACAAAAAGGAAACACACAAGTCTCTTGGGAAAGATGATGCCATCGTATAATTCATGAGCCCGTGATGAGTTCGACTAGAGAAAAGAGATTATTGGGAATGAACCAAACTGAAATAAAAAAAAAAATCAAAACACATGGGATACAGCCAAAAAAAAAAAAAAAAAGCAAACAATCAAAAAATAGTATGGATTGGACTATTGGAGTTACATTTTCCATGTTGGTCTCCTTATATAAGGGAGAATATATGGTATTTGTTCTTTTGTGAGTGACTCATTTCACTGAGCATAATGGTCTCTAGTTGAAACCACCTGGTTGTAAATAAAATAATTTCATTTGGGCTAGGATATTTATCACAACAGATAGTGTAAGAGAAATGCAGTCATTACTTTTCTATTGTTTTGAATTTCCCAAAGAACCAAATTAAGGAATAAAACATAAAACCAGGTCAGATGGCAAATATTCTTAATAGTCCCAAAGGCCTCCTTCCTTTTCTTTGCCTAACTACTCCCAGCCCATTGAAACTGGGCAGTCAGAACCTCCCAGTTTGATCAGCAGCAGATTCCAAAGACATGTGGTTTTTCCCTCCTGGCCACATGGGGGAAAGATTTATTAGGTTATTGCAGTGATTTAACACAAAGAACAGAATCCTTTATCTCAGAATTTAAAGCAATAGTGAAAGATGAGAATTCACTGGGCTATGATATTTAGTTATAGTTTATAGGAAGGACTTGCATTAGAGAAAGGTGATCCTGTGCCTCACACATTTAACTGGGGATTCACTTTGAGAAAAACATTCCACAACTTGTAAGCAATTTGGGAATTTTAGGTTGCGGTTGAAGCATTTTATTATAATACAGTAAAATAACACAGTGAAATATTCTGAATCTTCTTTGGTCAGGTTTTATTTGTTTTATGTGAGATTAAAAATCCCTTGTTTAGACTCATTCATCTGTTTCCAGTTTCACTCTTTGCAAATCAGACTCTATTTGTTTGAAACCCACATCTCCACCATGCCTGGAATCTTTCTGACATCTCACTTGGTCAATGTGCACAGGTTTTTTCAGAAGAATGTGACTGATCTAAGCAATCAATTCCAAGCTTGTTGTTTCTTGATTAAAACTGACCAGATGGTCCTGATCAGTGGTGAGGTTAGCTGCAGATTGAGATGATATTTATCAATCATCCAAAAAGCAGTTAACAGATTTTAGAAATGTGTTTAAATTACCAAGTTTCTTTAATTTCCTCAAGACTCATATAGTTTCAGGCCCAAGGAGCAAGGCAGAGGTAGAGCTTACTATTTTGTAATTGGTGTTTAAATATATATGGAGGGACCGGTTGTCCCTCCAACATTTGGTGGTATTTGGCGGTAAAAAATTTGCATTTATTTGTAACATATACAAACTTTTCTTATCTTTATTTCCTAAAGGATATAGTGCAACTACTTATTTGGCATTTCCATTGCATTAGGTATTATGAGCAGCCCAGAGAAGATTCAAAGTATATGAGAGGAAGTGCATAGGTTATAAGGGGATCCCACACACTGAAGAACCTGAGGATTGTAGTACTGGAACCAATCCCCTACAGTTACTGAGAAAAGGCTGCACGTAAAAGGTAGAGAAGGAATGACTTTCTTTGTTGCTCTAAAGTGCCCATTATCGAGGGATGTGCTACGAGTCACAGAGGTATCAGCCAGAGTTGCTAAAGATGCTGTTTCACTTAGTGTGCTCTGAAGCGTTGTGCTCATTCTGGACCTCATTTTCAGTCCAAACACATGAGATGTGAATCCCTGGATTAATCCTCAGACACAGTATGATCTCTAAAACTTACTGAGCTCATGCTGCCTTGTCCCCTGAGGAGTCATTAAACTCTCCACTTGGAGTCAAATAATCCAAACCCAAATACTAGCTTCAAGGTAAACAACTTCCACATCAAAAGGAATGAGTGTATTGGTGAGGCTGAAAGTGCATTCGCTGACAACTGCAGGAACACAAACTAGCTCTGGTTTCAGATTGGAGCTAGCATGTCAGTAAGATTGCATAACCATGAAAATAAAATGAGCAGGAATAGTCGTAGTAGACATTGTAGGCGGTAGTAGCATCTCAAATTAGTTTTACTTTTTTTGATTGGAACTGAAAACTCTGGAGATACACCTTAAGATTGTAATCCAGACTCATCCAACTTTTTACTATATAACATCTGGCAGGCTACTTAACCTCTCCAGGCTTCTATTTCCTCTTTTATCAAGTGAGGATAATAACAATATTTTACAACGGGTTATTGAAAATACTATATTAGCTAAAACACTAAAATATTACTTCTGGTATTACTGTTTTCATACTAATGGTGTCTGGTATATTTAGTATGTGCTACATGCTAGACATTATTTCAAGCTCCTTACATATATCATCTGACTTCATCGCCAACATTTATGTTCATTATATAGATGAGAAATTTGAGTATTTCCAGTAACTTGAAAAAGGTCAAAAAAGGGATAAGCAGGCAGATGAACTGAGATTTGAAATGGGCAGTCTAAACTTAAAGCGAAGATCATTCTTCTCGATGCATCTCTGCCTCATGCCAAAGATGAAATGCTTTTAAAATATCATTTACATTTATCCAGTTATCCTGTAATGTTTAAACATTGAACAATCTAACTCCTTGTATAATGGTGCTATAGAAAGGAATGGGGAGCATCTAAATAAAAACTCTCAATTATTTGATTTAATTCCAGTGAACAATATTGCTACTATTATGCATATACTACTTATGATATTACTACCAGTGGGTGCATATAAATTGTCAGTAGTCTTTAGCTAAAACTTTTTTTAAAAACAGAATTAGTCATAAGGCTATGCCCTCAAACTACTGAGGAACTAATCAAGTAAAGACACCGCTAGAGGTGGTGCTGGAATCTCAGGGCTCCAATCTGCCCTTCACCACCATCATTGCTGCTCACTGGAGACTCAGGGCATTAACACAGCACCTGATGCCCAGAGCTGCCAGAGAAATGCTGCCAGAGACTTACACCACAGCTCTGAAGGATGTATTTATCTCTTACTGTCCCGAAGAACACAATATTCCATTGATTTACTGTATTGGTTGGGATGAGTAGATCCTGCAGTCTCCACTTGGACCTGCCAATATAATAGCTCTATTCTATTGTTCTAGTAGCCAGCACATGGTTTTTGATGAAGCCCATTTCAATTGCAAATTCAGGTACTAATGGGTCCACAATATGGTGCAATTGGATCAGAAAGCAAATTCACCTTGTTCCTATAAGCTTCTCTATTGGACTACAATCAAGTTCTGGACCTTCGACAAGTAGCATTGCGTGGAGTCAGTGCATACTAACCCCTGTAATGTCTAGGATTTTACATTTAGCATTGATAATTATCTTTAAATGGCATGAAATCCATTCAGAGTAGATGAGGAATGAAAATCATATATGTATATGATATTATTCAAAGGATATTCTTTCAAGATATAAAGTCTTTAGTCTAAGGGACTCTGGATTTTGAATCAATCCAGATGCTGGAATTCTGTGAAGACCTTTCCCTATATTTCATGGCAGGTCAGATAAATCTCCTGCTCTTGAACCCCAGAATGTAGAATGTATTCTACCGTACATGTCAAGTACATGGGATTCCCATGCACATTTCCAAGGATACCATTTTTAAGATAGCTCTTAAAAGATAGCTCTGGGTCAGTGTTTCTTAGATACTACATTGTAAATAGACTATCAACTATTGTGCTTTCAATATATACATAATCTCTGTCACTTAAAAGTTTACTTCATCCATTGAAATTAAATCATATTTAATATTCAGTATCTCCTACCTACATCTCAGGGCTGCAGAAAATGACTACTATAGCACTTCTTATAAGTGCTTATGTTCCTTCACTGGTGAATTTCTCAGTTCTACAGAATAATAGATGCTTTAAGCTCTCCTTGGAGAATGTACACATGCATAAATATGTAAAATACATCTGATAATTGTAGCTCCACATTCTATATCTATCTTAACTTTTGATGGCCTCTTCTGAACACAAGTAGAATTTTTTCCCTAAATTCTAATTTATACTCTCAGGCAGCTTCTCAGTCTAGCATTTTATCAATGAATTAAATAACTAAATTGATGTCCATGATTTGTGGCTTCCTGCTATGGATGATTACTTGTGTTCAGCCATATTCATATATCAAACATTTAATTACCATTGGGAGGGTCTTATGTAGTGGATTGTTGGGGATGTGATTGTATTGTGAATGTGGAACCCTCATAAATGGGATTAGAGATATTGTAAAAGATCTCAAAGTGCTGCCATCCTCCTTCTACTTCATGGGGAAACACGAGTGTATGACATTACTTTTCAGTTCTGCCATATTTTAAAAGAAAAATACCAATGTTTCTCAAAATAGTCTAGAAACCAAGAGAAAAGAAACTACCAATTCATTCTATGAATCCAGTGCTACCCTTACACAAAATTCAAGAGATAAACAAAACACTACAGGCCAACTTCTCTGAAGAACATAAATGAAATTTTCTAAAAAAAATTCTAGTAGGACGAGTCCATAACCACTTTAAAAGGTGATCCAAAATCAGGAAGCTGTAATTGTTCCAGGAATGTGGGAGTGTTTAATTCAGTCCAATCAATAAAGATGACACATTATATCAATAAAAAGAAAAAAATTATCTCAGACAAGAAAAATCATTCAATAAAATTCAACTTCCATTCATGATGAATATCCTAGACAAATTAGATAATAGAAGGTTTATCCTTAACATTATGAAGGTTCTACATGGACTCTGAATACCAAGAAACTAACAAACTAGTTGATATTGAGTAGAAAAAATGGCAAAATAAGGATATCTGTCAGGTAACTTAGATAACATTTTGAATGCTTCGTACACAAGCTATGATTTTACCAGTTTTAGTTATCAGTCTTAACATTTATACTAAGAATTCTCATCTCATTTATTTGCCATCTGAAAGATAAACCTACTGCAATTGTCTAGAACTTTCTTCAGAGCGATTCGCATTTCTTGATTCCTTAGACTATAAACGATGGGGTTAAGCAGTGGTGTTAGCACTGTATATGTCACAGCCATCAGCATGTCTTCACGAAATGCGTCACTGCCCTTGGACCTCAGATAGACAAAGCAAGCAAATCCATAGTGTATGGACACCACAATGAGGTGGGAGGAACAAGTTGAAAAGGCCTTATACCTTCCTTTTGTAGACGGCATCTTCACAACTATGGATGCTATGAAGACATAGGAAATCATAATTAAAACCAAGCTACCGACCAAGACAAAGGCAGAGAGCACAAAAATAGTCATTTCATGATGGAAAGTATAATCACAAGCAAGGTGCACCACAGGTGAGATGTCACAGAAGAAATGCTGGATGATGTGAGAGTCACAAAAAGACAAGTTGAATACAATGGTGATGATGCACAGAGAAATGAGGAACCCAGTAATACAAGAGGCCACCATGAGCTGAAAGCAGATCTTATGGGTCATCAGGATGGGATAGCGCAGCGGGTTGTGGATGGCTGAGTAGCGGTCATAGGACATGGCAGCCAAGATGAAGCAGTTGTTGCCTCCCAAGCCAAAAAAGAACAACATCTGTGTGGCACACTCAGGAAGAGATATGGTCTTGCTATCTGATAACAAATCCACTAACATGCGGGGGATGATCACCAGGGTGGTACAAGTTTCTGAAAAGGACAGGCCAAAGAGGAGGAAGTACATGGGGGTGTGAAGGTTTGGACTGAGCCTGATGGCCACCATGATGGCCGCATTTGCAGCCAGGATGGTCACATGGGAGAAGAAAATCACCACAAAGAGTAGACTCTGCAGGTGTGGGAAACTGGAAAATCCCCACAGAAGGAATGTGTGCACTGTGGTGTGATTGCCCATCCTCCCAAGGCTGATGGGCTTTTTCACATAGGTTTGTAGGTGCTTAAAGGGCAAGATCCTGAAGTGATTGTAAACAGTTTGTGCACTGCTGTCAGCTGGACACAGAGTCTGTGGACAAGTGAAGCAATGCTTCGTGAAAATGTCTGAGGACAGGGAGAAAATGCACGTGGCAGAAGTCAAGGTCAGGATTCTGAATGAAGAGAATGACTCTAGTATGACAAATCATGTAAATGCAGTAAGATGAATGCTGGAATCTACCAGAGCTAACTGTAGTTTTTTTCTCCTCTTGTCATTATCTGCAATGAACAGAGAACAGATAAATAAGATTTGTTTTTTCTCATTTATTTTATGAGAGAGAGAGAGAGACAGAGAGAGAGATGGAGATGGAGATGGAGATGGAGATGGAGGGAGAGATTTTCCTTACCAGTTGTACATCCACCAAATGGCCACAATGGCCAGGGCTGGACAAGACCAGAGTCTGTAGCATAAATATCCATCTGGGTCTTCCACATGGGTTCATGGTCTTAAGTATGGTCTTTGCTGAGCACATCACAGGGGATTGGTTCTGAAGTGAAACAGCTCAGACTTGAATTGGCCAGTGTCTTAGGCGGCAAATTAACCTGGTCTCACCTATTGGATCTGGATCTTTCGTGCCACATTTTTTGAAATGATTTCTGTAATGAGAGGGTACCCTAACATTCAGGAATGCTTACCAAATGCTAGTAGAATGAATGTAATATGGAACTAAATCATTACAATAATGTGAACGAGTACAATAATACTTTAGAGCAAGCACTGAAAAATTTCAAAAGGACTGACTGTTTTTTTCAGTGCTTCTCTCTTTATGTCAGAACTCTCCAAGAGACAGTGATGGAAACTGAAGTGTCAGGGAGCAACACAAAGGCTGGCTGGCAATTACGATGTCAGATTCACAAACATTAAAGAAAAAGAAGACGAACAAGGTTATACTGAAGAGATTAATAGCTGAAGAGATGCTGCTTTTTAAATTTATATTTCAGTTTTGGGCACAAAATATAACAGTTAATCCAGCACTTATCACTGATAATGTGCCTGATCATATACTGCAATTAAGATAGTAATATCTTATATAATACTCACACATGTATGTGGTAGCAACTTCATTTAGATTTTGCAAAAGATATAAGGAAGGTACATCATGCCTAACCATTAGGTCGTGAATTCATCCAACATGTGTTGACTGAATAGCCATGATTGGCCAGACAATTCCCAGCATGGGAATCAGACCATTGCACCAGACACACAGGATCTCGGCAGTAGCAGCACTTGTCTGATATTTACGCAATCAGGAAAGCTTTGTCTGAGGACTTAAACACAGAAGGACAACATGTAAAATGACTTATAGATGCATTTCTCATTCTTGTTTGTCATTCAATACACATACATTAAGCAAACAAGAAAAACAAGGAAAGAAAACTTGTCAAAATCCTAGTGCTTACCTAGGGCCTTAACAGATAACTAGAAACTACAAGAAAAAAACCAAAAAAACAAAAACCAACCAAACACCTTTCCATTTATACACTACCCATATTTGCTGTAGTGTTACATCAAATTTTCCCTACTTAAGTGGTCTTTTAGCAAGGCACATACACAAATTGCCAAAATTTTGTCTACAGCATCTGTGTCTATACTCACCACACACCTCTTCAAGGAGAGAAATTTTCTGGACACAAGATATGTAGAGTTTGCCTAATCTTTATTAGTGATTTTGATGATTTAAATTTTATATATTCTCATATATGCTGATGATAAACTCTTTCCTCATATCACTCAAGTACAGAAAAATGTAAAAATGTACAACCTAGCATTATTTCCATTCTCTCACGCAAATCTGGCAGTCACTGCAGAATAAGAAGCCTTTAGCCCTGTGCCAGTCTTTCTGCTTGTTTTGCTCGAGCCTTTTCTTCTTTTGAAACATGGCTTTCGCCTTGAGTTTGCTATCCTATGCGGCTTTCAAAGTTTCAACACTTTCCCACGTAGTGTTTGGGGTTTCCTCTCTCCCAGCAAAGGCACTAAAACAGTTCTAATTCCCAGCTTATCTCTGCACAAAGCGCACTAACAACATTACTTTTTTTGTTGTTTGTTTTTTTAAAATCCCTGTATAATTTTTTATTTGTAAAACATTGTCAGGTAATCGTGTTCACTATTTTAGTTCAGTCAAAATTAGGAAGTCTAAGCATGAAATTATCTTCTGCATTTTTTAGTGTTATCTGTCATAGGGATAAAACCCCCTAGCTATCATACGGCACCAGAGTGTGTTGGTAGCCTTTTTACCTCCTGGGTCAGAAATGCTTATACTCAAAGTACGAAATGCTCCAACAAAGGGGAAATGAATCAAAGTAAAACCTACGTAGTTTACATTAGAGTACAGCAATTGCTGCTGATGTAAAGTTGGGCTTTTGATTGGTCAGGATGACACTCTGCCGGCTCTACCTTCAGACCAGAGATGGTCTCCACAAGAAGCCATTGAACTTATCTGGCAATAAGATGCTGGACTCTATGCTTGGTATATGCTTGCAATGAAAGGACCTCAACTGAACTTCAACTGTGGCAATGAAGCAAGGTGGAGGAATCCACCATGGGGAGAGGGTTGGGGAAGAGACAGGGGGAATCCCAGGGCCTAAAACTGAGTCACATAATGCAATATAATAAAAAAAAGAATAATAGAAGGCAAAAAAAGATTATATTCCAACAACATTTCTAATTCCCAGCTTATCTCTGCACAAAGTTTCTTCAGTCTCTTTAACAAGCTATAAGAATGCACAGGCACTTGATTATTAGAGGACAAAATGATGTTCATTTTAAAGAGTGAGAAAACCTGAATATTTCTGTCTACTACCCAGGAAGGAAAGTGCACATTTATACTTGCCTTCCCCATTAGAGTTTCCTCTAACTCTGGATCCTCATTCAAACTTCCCACCAATGCAGTCCATGATAGGCAGCCATTAGGGGTCAAGTGTTAGGTTTCTGCCTCCTATTGGGCAGGTCTGGTTGACTTTCCAGACTTCCATCTTAGGCTCTGGACCCATCCTGGCCATTCCAGGCATCTGAATGTCTGAGGAGTTCTCTTTGAAATTAGAGTCTCTTATACCTGTAGTGTCTTCATTCATTCAGGGTAGAACTCCAAAGCATCAGGACTTTAATTAGAGTCCTGGGGCCAATGTGATGATTACCTTGAGACCTTTGCTTTAGTACAAGAAGTCTTGTGCATTTGGATCTTAGCTTTAATCTGATGTCCACAAAAATGCTTTTAAATTATATTTAAAAAATCTTATCAATAGGTTTAACATTATTGATTGGAATAATGATGGAAATGACTAATATATTTCTTCAAACTATTACTTAGAAGTGCAAAGGACTCCCTTGGGGATGGTTTTGTTCTTCATAATACAATTTATCATTCTGACAGTTTGCTAAGGCTCTTATATTCCTTCTTCCCTGTTTGTAGAACTGGGGATTACAGTGTCAGGAGGGCTGTTGCCGAGGGCACGGGGAAGGGTTGGGGGAATCCCAGAGCCTATGAAACTGTGTCACATAATGCAATGTAATTAATTAAAAAAAGAGAAAGAAAACATGGTAAAAGGGTTCTACATAAACTTGGAGAAATGACTATGTGATATTAATGGAGATTAGATTTAGTAGAGACAATAAATATTCCTTTAGAGGCAAAAAAAAGAAAAGAAAGATAAAGAACATGGGCAGAAAGAAGAAAGCAAATCTGCTGGATGATCACTGTGATTGCTTTCTCATAGGAGAGAATACATTGTACATAATCTTACTGAAAAAGAAAATAGCCCTTTTATCCAAATGCCCAGTGACTGCACTGACCTGCCTGATATACACAAATGGTTCCTTATGGTCACTCACAGAATCTTGTCAAATTCTTTACCATCTGGACTATCTTCTGCACAATGAATGCTCAAATTCACCTCTATTATTTGATGTTATAACTTTAATTTTTATGGAAAACTGCTCAATATCTTATCTATTGATTACATTCTGAACTTCAGTATACCATATTATGTTTTTTTTTTTCCAGTGTGAAAAGCCCTTGGGTGACGTAATCCATCTAAAATCTTGTCTGTATTTCAAAGTTCAGTGCATATGCAATCTCACCAAAGTTGGTGATTACTTAAAATATGACCAAAGCAGAAACTACAGCCAGTAACAATTATGCTCCTCTATGTATGTGAATATGTATAGGAAAAAAAACTATTTTAAAATTAACAAACAATAGAAAAAGGAAAAATTCTACTAGGGGAAGCATTTATTTAGAAAACTCATGGTAGTCAGCAGAATAGCAATGTTAAGATATGTTGTACAGGGTCCATAGGAATGGCCTAGTGGCTAAAGTCCTTGCTTTAAACACGCCATGATCCCATATGGGCATGGGTTCTAACCCCGACAGCTCCACTTGCCATCCAGCTCCCTGCTTGTGTTTTGGGAAAGCAGTTGAGGACGGCCCAAAGCTTTGGGACCCTGTACCCGTGTGGGATACCCGGAAGAGGTTCCTGGTTCCTGGCTTCGGATTGGTGCAGCGCCAGCCGTTGTGCTCACTTGAAGAATGAATCATGGGACAGAAAATCTTCCTCTCTGTCTCTCCTCCTCTCTGTATATCTGACTTTGTAATAAAAATAGATAAATCTTTGTTTTTAAAAAGATATGTGCTGCAACAGTCTAGGCAGTTGTATATAATGATATATTAGGATTTTGAAATTTAAAAATTTTTTAATATTGTTAGCACAGTTGAGAGTGATGCATACCAATGAGGGTCTAGCATGGGGACAAGGGTCATATTCTATTCTCACGTGGGGATTAATCCTTATGGATGTCAAGGTCAGGAAGAATGTTACAAGGTTGTTACTTGAATGGTTCTGACAGTTCTGAGACGACATTCTCTTCATTAAATCAGGTTTGAGAATCTTTTTCCAAGGTTTATTGGCTGAGAACTCCACCTTAGT